TTTGCCATTGAGGGACCAAGCTCAATATCACGGGGGCTCTAACACTAGTAAGTGCAAGCTAATGGCAAGAGTTTCTCAAACTAGGCCAAATCTGTTCATCAAGAAACACATAGGAGTTCTTACTTCATGTTTATCTGATTTAAATACATGGGTATTGAGTAGTTTCTCAACTAGCTCAAGTGGGAATTATAAAAGGAACCAACTGTACTAACCTCCTACTGTGATGATAGTAAGGAAAGAGTGTTCGTAAGGACTGGCTGATAAATATCTTTCAATACCCAAAGTCATATTTGCGATAATATAAAACATTATTATGTGACTAAAAAGTTGCATATGTCTTTCTATTAGCTGGAAATGTGATATGATGTTATCCAGTATGCATGTAGTTGTATTTGGTGTTCGTCCTACAAAAGGATACTTGAAGTTGATTGCAACTTTCCATCCATTTGAGTTAGTGGCATTTGATCTAATAAAGCCTTTTCCATAGTTGATTATTAGCAATGATTATGTCATTATTACTTTTGACTACTTAACTTGTTAGGTGGAAGTTGATGGTCTTGTTAGTGCATTTGCAATTTCTATTAGATACTTCCTCCTTGATTGAGTAGTGTTCTAACATTTCTATCTAAAGAGGATTCTTTCAAATAATAGTTTTGCATTTATGATTGAGGCATTTCACGTTTTAATATTTAGGTTGGGCATACACCACACTTTTAGAAGTGTTTATCATCCAGAGATAGCTAGTTTGGTGTAATGGACCTTCAAATGGATGATTGTAAAGTATGTGAATTTTCAATATTTACATTGAAATTATTATTTGCTATCTCTTCGATATGCAAAAGTATAGAGTTTTATTGATGCTTCACTATATAAACTTATATCATTAAAGTCCAATATTACCAATGGAGTTGAGCTTACTTTCACAATTGCCACAACCTACTAATATGAGGTTTTGGGATTAATATTTGACAAGCTTTCTTCCACTTGTCCAAATAGAGTCTACTACTTAGACAGAGTACAAATGGGACAATAATGGCACTACAACATCATGTTAAACTTCATAAACTTGATGATCCTTTCCACTGAACAAGGAACTCTTTAAACATACTATGTACCATAAAATTGGGAAAATGGACTAATACCAAGTTATCCACTTTATACTCTATAGGTAGATGATGATGGAGTTAAATATGCCAATCCTCTAAAAATTATACATATACAATGATTAAAATTCTTTATACAAAGGGATCAAGAACAATTAATACCACCTATAAATCCACTAGTGCCTCCTCCTAATATTCCTTCAAATCCCAGCCCATCAACCAGAAAACCTTGACTATCTTCCATTCTTCCGAAAGGAGAGGATGATATAAGGTCCAAGTGTATGGCTACAATGCCATATACTAATATTAACGACTATACATTAAGATTAATGTAGTGGGATTTTGATAGCCATTAGACTGGTTTCAATCTAAATTGCTCGCTTTTGTATATAAGCTAGTTTTGGGTTAATTGATATGCACATTATTGTGTTCCCTTTTCATATTCTATGCACTCACACAATTTTTTTATCTAATCTATAATGCATAAAAAAATAAGAATACTTATATATAATATAAATTTTAATAATAAAATGTTAAAGTGGAGCTTGTTGCTTGTAAGTGCCAACTAGAAGAGGTGATAGACAATGCTACAAGAGAAGGCTAGGGTGAGTGAGTTGCACAAAGCTCCCTATGCCCACAATCTTCTTTCTACTTAAGAGAAATTAGCTATCTTTTGGGATGTCTAGTGCTAACGAGGACATTAAGTAAGCCATAGGTATGACCAAGTAGATTGCAACTAAATGATAATATTCCAAAGATCAAATAATCACATATATTTTGTCAATTGATCCACTATAGCCCACATTTACTCCTTTTGCCTTGATGATCATGGCAAACAAGTTGATAAAGTGGTAAAGGTTGCAAAAGTCCCTCTGGCTTTTCCTGTGGCACCTTTATGCACTAATAGAGTTGCATTATTAACAATACTCAAGTATATCAACTTTCATATTCCTTCAATAAAAATTGCACTTAATCAATTTATATATCTTCTTTCTCCCAAAATGACTAGCCTTTAGATGATCATGATTGAAATAAAACCTAATTAATCAACATATTCACTTGTGGAAAATACACATGGTTGTTATAGTAAAGAATCTCATCCACTAGTGAAAAAAGTGCTTCCAACTAAACTCATAAAGAGACCACTTCAGCATGCTAAATTTGAGCATGCTCAACTAATTACGCAAACTTGTTAACCAATAAAACTGTCCATATATGATAACTATGAGATAAAACATTTGCTACTACATTTGATTTCCTAGACAATGCTTAATAGTAAATTCCTTAAATTTCATGATTTTGACCATCTATTGAGTTTATTTAGTGTTCAACTTCTTCTGTATAAATAAATATATAAGAGGTTTATGATCTATCAATAACATGAACACTACACCATAAAAATAATATCTCTATGTTTGCAAAGTATAAACAGTTAAAAACAACTCACATATGTAAAATATCATTGATTTACAGGATTTAAGTCCCTCTTGCATGGTACTAATTGTTTTTTTAGCATTTGCAATGTTATGGACTTGAGCAAAAATTTTAGCATTCCCTTGTCAATGGACTTACACAAAAGTTTAACTTATATAAACCCCAGACAATAAAAGGGAGAGGACCAAGAAGAGCAAGATGAAGAGGCCAATGGATCCCAGAATCTGGAGGTGGCTTCCTCGTGATATTCAACACCAGCTCATCACTTTCCTCACTCTTTGCTCTCTCTCCAAGGATTGGCACTCAGCAATCTACCCGGCAGCACCCTTGGCAACACCAGTAAGATTCGCATCTCAGCCAATGGCTCCTGGAAGGTGTTGACTCTCTGGCTTCCAAAGGCAAGCCAAGTCTTCACCTGGAACGCTTTTTTGGAGGTTTGGTATTGATGAGCGTCAAGGAAAAGTACTTCATTGTCCTGAATCCAATGCTACACGGCAGGCAAGAGCTGCTTCCGCAGCTGGACAAACAGTATCATCGCCATGGAGTAGTCTTCAGTGCCATTCAGTCAGCGCCATCCAGCTGCAATAGATCTTGTTTTGTTGTCATCTTGACTTGCATTGCTGGCAACCTGCTGATGCACCTGTATGATTCGAAGGACACGACTTCGACAGCAGCAAGTTGCTCCAGGACGATCATCTGTACTTCTTGACCGTTTCACTGGGCGTTGTCACAACACTCAAATCATTCAACGTGTGGAACCCCAAGGCTACCCTCAAAACTGTGGCATTTCATCCTTTCGTGCTCGCTTTGATTTGCATCAGCTCCTGCCTCTCTTGCTCGCAACTATTAGTATCGAGATGTATACACCAGAAACCAGATGGTAATCATGTTGAGGGCTACCCGTGAGCGCCCGATAGCCCAAGGATCTGAGCAGAACCGAATGGTAGTAAATGAATGAAGTAGAGAAACGTATCTTATCATTTCTGATATAGAGAATTCCATAGTTCCATCACCTGTAAAAGACGATGGCAATTGTCAGAAACTGGAAGCTCTTAATAAGCTGTCAGTTTTTACTGTTTCGGTTTTGTTTGCTCTTCGACTGTTAAAGCTGCTGATGACTTCCTTCTCGGTAAGAAGACTCATCCTTTTGCAAGTTATGTGAGGTTGACGAGACATTTCTAACAAGTGACTGATATCTGTAAGTTGCGACATTACTTACTTTCACCAGATGGTTTCGTGGCAATACAAAACGCGAGACCACCACCTGTGTGCACAGCCCTGAGTTCAAAGCACATATTGCGTCCAAGCCTTGACACAAAAAACCTTAAAAAACATGCCCTTCAAATGGAAAATTACTCCTACAAACATACCAACACAATTGCAGCTTCCACAGTTGATGGATTTTCAGCAAGACGAATAAGTGGTCCTCCCATTTCGATTCCTGAGCAAAGAAATGTTTCACAGAAACGAGTGAAGGAGAAATAATTTGGGAAGGTCAAAACTGTTGCAACTTGCGAGCTGCCCGCGACGATTCTAGCTCGGGATGTTTCTCCTTCTCTTGTCTAGAACCAACCACTCTTCTCTCTAAATACTTTCAAAACACAGGAATCACGCAACCACACTCCACTGAGCAGTAAAAGGTCAATGACACGGGTATGGCTGCAAACACAGCTTTAGCCTCATCAAGATGCCCTTCTTGGGTTCTTGCTGCAAGTATAGGCCATTACATCCCTCTCAGCCATTTTGACAAAGACTCTCGGAGCTTTTTTTTTGAGGTGTATCCATGGAACATGATATTACAGAAAACCAAATTTCGATCAAAGCCATGATCGAATATGTCCAGATGCCCGTTTTGGGCATATGCTGCTGATGATGTGGCATGTAATTATGACATCTCGTGGAACGCGCGTACGCCCAGGCGGGTGATCTCGATCACGCCGCGAAGATCTTCTCGTGCGCGATGCCGGAGAGAGATCTCGTCTCCTGGACAGCGATGGCACCTATGCGCACGCCGGCTTCCCCGACCACGCGTCGGCGATCTTCGACGCCGTCCCGGAGAGGAATCGTGTCTCGTGAGGCGTGGCGCTGCCGGTGGAGATCTCCCAGAAAGCCGAGGGGATTGGGGGGGACGAGATCTCCTTCGATTGCTTGCTGCTTGGATCCAGCCACGCCAGGAGATTGCGCGAGGGCTGCCACTACTTTCGATCCATGGAGCTGGATTTTGGGATGGTCCCGAGCAAGCAGCATTTCCAGTGCGTGGTGAGCTTGCTGGGGCGGGGTGGCCACGCGGACGAGGCGCGGAGCTTGGTCTCGGCCCCCGACATTGTGAACTGGCGGTCGCTGCTGTCGGCGACCGGGAGACAGGGACTTTGCATTGACGCTTGGAGGTTGGCCAGGACCCATTGACCAAGAAGAAACCCTCGCCTACAAAATTGGAGAGAGGGAACATACTCTTCCAAGATGTTTGGAATCAAAGACACATCGAGGAATTCGACATTTACTTGAGAAGACGCAAACTTAACCAGAATAGTCGACAGATTTTTTGTAAGCAAAATTGACAGATCCAAGGCTCCGGGAAGTAAGCAGAGACATATGTACAAAATGCTTAGCCCTGCACAGCGCAAGAACGAGCTTAGCAAAAAGAAAAAAAAAGTAAAAAACGAACAATCAGGAAAATATCTTACGTTTGAACCTGTGTGGACGACCGCTGGGACTTGTGTCACGGGCATCCGAGTTACTCGTTTTTCTTCTCCATGGCTCTCTTTGCGAGTTCGTATCCCGCAAAGTTCATAGCTCCCAGGGGCGCGATCCAGAAGAACCTGGGAACGGCGCCCTTGAAGAGCGCGAGGAGCCCCTCCTCGCTGACGATCTTCACTGTGACCGAGCTCATCGTCACGGGGATGCCCGGAGGCGATGTCATCATCCGTGTCTTCATGACGTCGAATGGAGTCGTAAACACGGCGGCGAGACCGCCCGAGAGGCCTCCTATCGCGATTACCTCCCATGGTGCCAATTCTCTCTTGATAACGTTCTGGACAACCTGTAAAGAAGAAAGAAATAAGATGCTTGGTCTCGAGCGAGAGAGTTCATTTACCTTTTTGGCTTCCTCGTAGATCATCATTCCAGCCACATAGAACGGCACTTCACGGCACAGTGTTGCTCCTGTCCCTCGGAAAAATCCTTTCCACCCGTCCTTGCGAAGTGTTCCAGCGATCGCGACTCCAACGTTGTCGTAAAGACCAGCTTGTAGTCTTTGTTTCAGAACTTCGCAGGGGATTCGAATTGCGGTACCGAGGAATGTGCTACAGAATGACGCAAGAGATTGTACCTGGAAGAACAGCAGCGGCATTAGTTGGCCACAGGAAAACGGCAACGGAGATCAGACCTGAAGCTCGGATACATTTGGAGCCACGTTGATTAGCAACAGCTTGCTAGCTTCAAAAATCCCAGTTCGAAGACCATGACTACAAACAGACATAAATGTGTTAAATGAAGAGAAGAGAAAAACTCGGAAAACATTACCTCGAAAACTGGCCGATAATTGCAGGAGCAGAACCTCGGTACAAGCCTCTGATCCCGATGTTAGGAATGTTTGATATTAACTCTGAAAAGCTAAGAGTTGAGGACGCCTGTACTCTAGTCTGCACGGAAAGCAAAAGCACGAGTCAGACAACGCTCGCCATGAACAAGAACGTTCATTGCTCTTATAGTATTCACAGATACCAAAGCCCCAGGCAAAGTAAGAGAGAGGGTTAAAGCGTGCCTTTAGAGTGTCAAGCGGGTGTAGCAAGCTAGTCGATAAAGCGCAAGCCAAGCCACCAGCCAACGCAGATTTGAGGACGCTACCGGCAGGAACTTCTATAGGAGGAGACATGGGAACAACGGTTGCAGCTTCATACCAGACCATCCTGCAATAGAGCCAAAATATTAAGAACAAAAAACTGCACACAGAGCCTTGTACCTCGGATCATCGAATAAGCGTTCAGGCGGAAGGAGCACCAAGAAGTTTCTGAACTGGCCATACGTGATGGAGCCTTCGGTATCCGAGTTGAGAATGCGCATCATCGCGGCGGCGTTTTCTTCAGTGGCCGGAAGACCAGCATTGCGGAGAAGTGTCAAAACCTGTCCCTTTTGCAAGGTCCCGGACTTGCTGACACTCAGGGAATTGAAAGCTCGAAGCATGACTGACTCCTTCTGTTCCATCAGCGTCAGGAACTCGCTCCAGCCAAACGATTTCTTCAACCAATGCTTCTTGGTTCTTCTCAAAAACTCCCGAGCATAACGCTGAGGCAAACGCCTTTTCCTCATTGCCAGCTCCAAGTCCTCCAGAGTAACTTGACCGTCTTTATCGCGGTCAAGCTCATCAAACAATCTTCTCCCTGGAAACACAGCACAATAAGAAGAGAGTAAAAATCGAAAGCGGCTCACCTTCAGCTTCTGTATACTTGAAGAAATCTTCGACTGAGTACAGCTTTCTCTTGTCCGGAAAACTTTGAGGCGCTTTTCCTAGCAGTGGAACCAAGTCCATAATGTTCTCGATGTTTGGCAGCTTCACACTGAAACGAGGAATTCCACCTCTCGTGCGGTTCGTTTCAAACTGACTCTCGAGGGGGCTCTCTTCCTCGTAAGGTGACGGTTCTATAATGCTGGGCTCTCCTTGTACTCGTGCAAAGGCAGCGCCTTTCTTAAACCCGAAAATCTTCGTAAACGCAACGACGTCCCGCAGCATAAACCTCAGGAACACGGAGTTCTCCAGAAGAGTTTTTACGTCGAGTCTGCGTTCCATCGGACTGTCACGCGATGCCGGCTCCACCACATGAACAAGGAAACCTGGAAAAAGCTTAGAGACCGGCGATGCATTTTCTTCCTTGCTTTCATCCGTTGCGACAGGAGCTTGCGTCACCTTCCTTGCAGGAACAAAGCTCGAGAACGTCCGGAAGAGGAACCCAGCGTGATGATCAGCAGCATTCACCACGGCGTTGCTGGCCCGAAAAACTGGATTGTAACACTGCGGCTGCTCGTCTCGGACCAAACCCCCGGAGCTCTTCTGGAAATGTTTAATCCCATCCAAGGGTAAGGACAGCCGGAGGAAATCGAAGGAACCCTGTTCCTTGACGCTGCCCTTCGCACCGCTCTCTTCTGCGGCCCCTGCCCAGCTCTTGATGGGCAGCCCAACACTGGACAAGCTCGCCGAGAGCTGCTCGGTGAATTGCCCTAGAAAGGCTTGAATTTCCTGTTTCCCACATTCTAATCGATCTAGCTTGAATCGATTGACGAGCAAGACCTTGTAGACGAGATGGCTTTCAACTGAATCGAATGCGTGCTCGATCTGCCACGCCCTATCCTTGTCGCTGGGGGTATTCCTCATCTTTTAGGCCGCTCCAACCACGGCATGGATCCTGCAAGAACGCCAATGCAGCTACGCAATCAGCCGCTCACCTCAAGAAATGCGCGGCGCCAAAACCCTCGCAAAACCCTGGCAGCTCGAAATTGTGTCCAATCTCCGCGCGATCGCCCGCGGCCAGAGATGATTTCCACGCTTCCCTAGCGATTGCGCGCCCTGCCGATCGAAATATCCAATGCCGCCCTAAAATCTCCCAAGCATGGGCGCCACACAGGGAAGCCGCCCAAAAGAAAATAGCAATGGATAAGCACCCCAAGGTATTTCTTCCCTAGCCATAGCCGTAATTTTTACTTCGACTGTCATGACACGTGGCACCTTGCAGATCACGCCGCGTGGACAAAATGCGGACGTGGCGCAATTATCTTGTGGGGTTCATCTCAAGTTGGCCCGAGCGATGGAATACCAAACCAAAGAAAAAGGTTTAGTTTGGTCTATCAAGAACATATACAATGAATCAAGATTTTTTCAGCTATATAAAATAACTCTTTCATTTTTAGCAAACGCTAAGCAAAGCCTTTGACCACTAACACCAATACTTTGTTCAAGGGGGGGAAGTAATAGGTCCAAATTAAACTCAAAAATATATTAAAGCATGGATTTAAGGTAACCTACCCTAAAGGCTCATGATGGAGTTAGTATGGTGGAGCTTTTGAGGTAGTTCAAGAGTGGTTAAATGGTCAAGAGGAGCTATAGTATAATCTAAGTGAGGTTGTTTTGTTATTTAATAATGGGTCATAACACTTAACCACTCCTTAGCCCCCATTTTGGAACTTGCAAGAACTCAACGTAGCAGTTTGTAGCAGCAACTCGTGCCTAGAAGCATAAGGCCATAGCTGCCCTGGAATTAGATGGAAAGGCAGATCCAAATCCCAAGGATTTTGCTCCAATGATACTCACGGCATACAACCTATTGTTTCCTTCTATTTTTCCACTAGATCCAGCACACTAAAATGTCTTCTAGGACCAGATACTTACACTAGAAGACATAACGGAAAACACTGTTTAGCACTTGCTTGACATCTAAGTATTTCTCTCGCTCACTGATGTTTTGTAAGTAACTCCAGGAATCGGGCAATCATAGGTAATGGCTAGAGCATTTGGCCTGGCTCTTTCTCCCATTCTACTAGCACATCCAGTCCAGGCTGTGAGCAAAAAGGAGTCCTCAAATCTAAGAGCATTCATTATCCCAACAAGTATGGAATCTACTACCAATACTTTGGCCGATTCTAGATCCAACATAAACATTATCTCCTTGGATCTTGACTAATATGCTTTCCTTGGCATCTTCCTGCACTCCCCACTTCCTTGAAAAATATAAAAATTAGGAGTTAATGGAAATCCCTTTCCTTTCTTTTTCTCTCAAAACACAAAGCATTTGCTTCATACACAACAACATCATGATAACATAAAAAGAGGTTGAAGAAACAATGAAATCTTTATTGACTCCACCAAAAGATTTACTCTTGATTATGTCACTGTTCCACAAAATCCCTCCAAAGAAGTGTACAACAAAGATTTCCATGAGCAGATGATGCTCGGTGATCATGTGGAAAGCACCAATAGATCCTAAAGAGCACCCAATGGAATATGAGACATGGATCATGGAGGAGATCATCTAGAGTCTTGTCATGGAGAAATGAAGTCCAAAGTTTTTTTTCCTCCCTTGTTAACATCCCTTCTAAAGGCATCTAACTGGATTCAAATAGCAGCTCTATTATGACTAAATGCGGTACAATGGTCTAAAAAAACACTAGAAGCATCATATTGGCATGTGATATTGGACAACTACACTTACAAATCTACAATACCATTCCAAAAACAACAAACAAGGTTTTTAAGCAAGCTGCTTGCCAAGGATGTGATGGCAATACTCTATTGAATATAAAAAATTGGAACCTATCACAAAGTGATCGATGTACATGGAACCAACTTAGGCTATATTGCTGGAGTAACTGACTCCTTATTCTGGTACATGCTAAACAATCTGGACAAATACTAGTCAGATCCAAGTTTGATATCATTAGATTGTCTATTGCACATTGCCAACCCACAGATGATTCTCTAAATTGAAGCCTTCTTACAGATCCATGAATAGATGAAAGTGGCAGTGATAGTGGTGGCAAAAAAGCTAGAAAACTCGAATCTAGAATTCATCCCGCACACCCAGACCAAGATGAACATATGTAAATTCATCCCAGTCCAGCAATACATCCCCTATGTCCTCATGATGTGATGGTAGTGAGAGTAATGGAGCTTTCTCACCCATACCATCCTTGCAATGCACCCAATTACAGTCAAGAGGCCTTCCACCAAATCAGAAATGTGATTGCTATGATGGGCAAACCTCTATTGACATAACTTCATAAAAGACTGGCATGCCATCATCAATCTCCAAAACATCTAAGGCCATTGCATGCTCAAATAAATAGAGGCTACACAAGAGGCTTAGTGCAAAAAAATAGCAATAGAATAATTTTGTTTTCTTCTTCCATACTTGGCTTCTAATAAAGATGTTCTTATATAGTGTACTCTACACTATATCCATAATTTGTCCAAGAGAAAATGTTTGGTCAAAAAGGGACTGGAATATGAACTAAAATTTGTTTACATTTGATATATCAATAACATCTATACCCTATTCAAGAAATGTTTGAAGTTGATTGTATTGGACTCTAACCTCTTGAGCCACTAGGATACCCTTGAATTTGTAAATGCAAACGATGGCCATGGGTGGGCCACCTTGACAAAACTAGCCATGTACATACATTGGATCCAAAGATCCTTGGCTCATGAGTACTTACCTTGGTTATTGAGAAAGGTTTTAAGCACATCACCCCTAAACCACTCCAAATAATGAAAATCATCTATGATGCTTAGGATAGCATTGCTAGTATCATCCTAGAAGTATACATCCAGAACTAGCAAAGCAATGAGATGGCTGTAAACAGCACATCAATCATTGGGTTCAACTGGCACTCCATGCTTGCCAACTAACCCCAATGATAGATGTGATCCCTGAGACATAACAATAGCTTAAATGGATACATAAACATCTATACATTAGTGGCACTAACATAGTAGGTAATACACCTACTTTCTTTTGTGAAGTGTTAGCATAGGGAGAAGCACTAAAGCAGAAGAATAGTGAGGGCTTCTCACTTGCAATATTAGACAATAATGTCCTAGAAACTCTCGAGACAATTGTGAAGCAGTTTCTTGGGGATCTACTTCCACAGGAATTCTCACAAACCTCCCATATCTTACAGGAATATATAAGGGGCACAAAAACAAGATGCACTAGCTCATGAATATGGATGAGTGTGTGTTTTCAGAAATCAGTATATGCCTAACAACTGTCCTTAAGGGAATATAGGATGAAATGTGGTAGATGATTTCTATGCATAAGTCAAGTTCTTTGGAGGAAAGATGAATGCATGTTGGAACCTTGAATCCATGCAGGAATTTGCCATTAACCTCCCCAATAGAATTATAACAATCTTTACTAGTGACATTACTAAATACTATAAAGTAATCCCCTTGGAGGGAGACCAAGGCTTCACCATAGCCACGACACACCTTATCAATCTGGCCTTCACACATCAGAACCACCTCCAAAATGATTTGTTCCTGAAATAGAAAAAGAATGATGATTTCAAGGAACCTCTATGCTATTCATTTGTTAAGGTTACCACAATGGAACCAATGAAGATCATTGAGTTAAACATCTTTATTATCTAGCATACATATCTTCACTTGGTTAAAAGAGTTTGGAGACAAGTCCATGGAATTTTAATGAGCTTCTCATATCCACCATTATAGTGCAATCTATATTGCTTTTACTTCGAATATAAATTTCTCATTTGGCTTGCATGAATAGACTGGTATGATTTATTTCACCTTTTTAAGCACACCTTCAGGTATATGGATAATCTAATCTCAATGAATAATTGTATGATCCTTCATTTTCTTGACCTGAACCAAACAAGTCAGAAGGGTAACCATTCTGGATCTATCCATTGCAGCAATGTAAAACAAAATGGATAATCTCTTTATTAATTTTGATGGCTCACTCATAAATCTGTCGGCTCATTTCCTAAGCCTTTCTAATCATAAGGGTTCATGGTACTTTCTTGACAATAAAGTATGACAAATGATGATCACTTCCATTCTAGATCTCAATGTCCATCCATCTAGACTCAAACCAACCTATGGTAAATGCCTCCAAGGTCATCCTTAGACAAGTCTTTGCTCTCTTCCACATGATAAACACTGCTAACAGTGTCATCCTTGAGATTGATAATCTCGTGGAATGCTTTGTAGCAAATCAATTCCATTGATATGCACTTAGATGACTCATCCTCCGTGGTCTCGACCAGATTATATTAATTGGCCTACTGACACTAATGTATACAGCTTTGATCTCTGGAGAGAGCCAATTAATCATTGACCATAGTTTGATGACTCGGAAATCTCACACCATGAGAGACATTTTTACATACCATTTCATGAATGTCTAATCCACTGTAAGCGACTAAATTTTCCATTCTACTTTAGTCACTTAACCACACCTCCGACCACTTGGAGGAGTCTCATTCACAACCTCCATCAGTCCAATTCAGGACTTGGGACTTGCTAGCCCCAAGAATGGCATCCATGCCACTCCACACTTGCACCTGGTCCAAGTGCTCCACGTGTCCGGTCCTGAGACCGACACCCAAAGGTACCACTAACATCTCGGCCCGTTACGCTAAGGCCATGGCCATTCACCTTTGCTGCACTAGTGGTTCAACACCACTTGCATCACCAACCCGTCTCTCCAAGACTGGGCCATGTGTCCACGAGTGGTCATCCTAGATCCACTCCTTAGCATCCTTAGGATGCCCACAGACCTGGGGAGTTGCCTTCCCCAAAGTCCCTTTGTCAGTTCCTACCAAGTCCCTTTCTGCCCCTGGCCGTGTTTGCCAACACTGCCACTGGATCGAGGCCCACATGCCCGACCACTAAGTCCCACGGTCCTCTGGGACTTCCTCACCACATGACTGTGTCCTTGGTCACTACCCCAGAGGACTGCTCCTCTTCCTTTCCACAGTCTGGGCCTTTGGGACAACATTTCGGAACACCGTGGCCTTACGCGAGCCACCTGGGTACTCTCCCCACCTATCGCCTTTAGGTGCTCTAGCCATGGGCTTAGAGCGAGGTTCCATTGAGCCACGCTTGGTATCCAAGTAGGTAGTGCCACCCACACTTGGA